CACGACAAATATTGAAACGTTGACGAACCCGTATTTTACGATCGCTGTAAGAATGCCCAATGTTCATGCTGTGAATCATTTCATGTGTTAGTACTGAAGAGAATATGAGCTTTGGCGTTAGCAGAACTCCTACAAACAACATAGGCTTGCTGTGAAAATTTGCGAATAATTGTTGCTGACACTACCTGTATCCTTCCCGTATACTGCTGTGTTCTCCATATTTAGAATAGTGATTTTTTGCTTATTGAGAAAGTAACCGTTCTGTTCAGCGAATGAGATGCAAAGTTGTTTCGCTTTATCAAACATCTGTAGAAAATGAGTAGTATCTTTGTCAAGATGTTCATATGTTTAACCATCATTTACAGCAAAAGGACGCTCCCTTTCAGACTGCAAACGTGGATCCATGACGGCCATTCGGAGAACTTCGCGGCGCGTCCAAGGAAGTCGAAGCCATTTTGTGACGTTTGATCCTTTTATGGTATAAACCGCATTGGAAACTGAGGAGAAGTAACTCTCAATGGTATCTAAACTAATGACTTAACTTAGAACCTAGAAGGCTTGCTCAACTTTTAGGTTACCTGGATTATTTCCGCCAGAGATCCATTCCTCGAACCACTCTGCCGATCGCGGTTCAAAATCACTGTCCTTGAACTTGCAGAGAATCAAAGACCAGGGTTCGTTGCCTCGTCGGGGGATTGCGACCAGGTATGGGAAAAGCTCTAATAGCCCTAATGCAATCAAAATGACGATCATGACATTCTCAGCTGCTCGGGTTTCTGAAACGCTTTGCAGACAAATCAACAGAGTCCAATTCAGCTGATTAAAGTTTACAAAATTTTGTCAAGTTTGGCAATATATGCAGTGCTAAATATTCCTCGTGATGTAGCGCAGGCAAATACTTTTAGCCCTTATTTAATTTCGAGTTCACTGCTAATCAAATATGGTGGACACTGTTAATTCATACATTTGGATATCTGGATAAAAAAGTGAATAACTCCTTGAAGGTGTTTTTT